ATTTGTGCCTATTTAACCTGAAAAAACCACCCCGAATTTAGAATTTTATTAAACCTGAAAACTGTAAGGCCTATTTAATAGTAAGTCATAACTTTTTTTTTGAACTTTTAACTCTACATGGCAATGATGGCCATATTTACAAAGTCACTGTTAATTTACATTTGACTGTAATTATTATAATTTTGCCACGTAATTTTTGAGCTGGTTTTCTGATAACTTACATGTTTGTGAATGTATGCTTGTTTGTATGTGTATTTATGTAGTAGCTTATAGCAAGAGTGGATAAGGAGGAGGGGAGAGTGTCTAACTGCCCTATGCTGCTAGTGATATGTGCGCATAGAAGTTTCATGGTTATTATTAGTACATTCCCGCATACCTTATTTAGCACAATAAGTGATAACTGCACTGAAGCCATAGTTGGGCATGTACTTAAGTTAACTGTAATATAAAAATGGCTGCTGAACTGAGCAGCAAGAGACCAGAGACCTTGGAAGCAGAATTTGACCTCACCTTGTTGTACCAGTCACTTTCTACCACTCTGAAGAGATTTGTAGTTTCCAAGCACACAAACCATGTTTGTTATTGACACATGAAAAGCTCTTTGATCATCCTCCTTTAGTCTGGTCCTTTTGGACCCGCAACATCAAGAGTAAGGATTATGATAGAAGTGAAGGAATATGTGGTACATGTACTTTTGAGATGGGCTGTTGATCTTAAAAACGAAGTATTACACATCTGAGTTCACTGGAGCAGAGGCTTCTGACTCTTGACTCCATGTCCTCTTTCTTGATGCATTAGGGCGCTTAGGTGTAGTGGCATGGCGCTCATCAAGATTAGATGCTCTCAATCTGTGTAACAGTCATGATCATCTGGATTGTGCTGTAGTTCTGACTCTTCCTCTTGAAACATCGTGACTACATGTGTGGGTGGGTGCACCATATAGGTTATTAAAAACACACCCATTTACTATCATGGCTGTTGATGTTTAAACAGGTCAAAGAAGGTGCTAAACAAACTGTGAAAGACTTCTACGCACACATATCACTAGCAGCATAGGGCAGTTAGACACTCTCCCCTCCTCCTTATCCACTCTTGCTTATAGTAATATATTAGTAGTTGATAATGATGATATTTGTTTAGTGTTCAAATGTAGTTGTGACTCAAGTTATGCTTTATAAGTTGTCTAATATCATTGGTGAAGTAGTGATATGACTATCAATCTTAATACTATTGTTAATATTTATTTTTGCCTTTTTGTTTTGTTCTTCTTTGTTTGTACTTTTTTTGTCTCCCTATTGTATCTCTAGTGTTTTGTGTCTTGGGCCACTATTTTTATGAATTTTATTTCACAATAATAATAATTTAATAATTGTAATAATAATAGTAATAATAATAAGTCCCACTTTAATATTAACGGTGCATAAATTGGGTTTATTTTTGCACTGTTAAAGGTTCAAAGTTTTCACATAATTATCATAAAGCTGACACTACCAAATGATTCCAAGTTTAATTTCTTTCTTGCAAAGTTTGAGAAGCCAAAAACTTTTTAGTCACATAAAATAAGTCGGGAGTTCTAGTATGATGAATTTTTCTTTCTTTAAGTTATATAAGTCATTAAAGTATGATTTCCAATGTCATTGATTGTTGACAAGTAATAGGATAGAAATCTATTGTTTGGCTTCCCTTTTGTAATATGTAGGTGTCTATACTTATAGCCAAACTATAATTGTAACTATACTAAGTATATTTACCTTTTTGCCCTTAAAAGAAAGACTTAAATTGACATAACCTTTTTCTTTATGTTTGAAAGTAGAATGCCAAATTTGTGTCAAAGGTTACGAAGATATAGTTATTGCAAGTAAGAGTGTCCGGGCACAGTATATTTCGTTTTTCGTTATTGATTGAAGGCTCTCGTTCATAGTGAAATTTAATCCTGCATTATTAATAAAGCAGTATAGGCTTCATCCAGATGGTAAAGGGTGTTCATCTATCAATAAGGGCTTGGAGTCTTTTTATGTTCCTCAAGATTAGCTTCAACAGTAGTGACAAGTAAGCTACAATCGAGGCTGTGTAAAGTGTTATGTTAATTGATTTGGGAGTGGTTACCACTATTGAGCCAGAGCCATACCTTGAAGTGAGATGGAGGATACCTCTGTGTAAGAGCTCTATATTCTGGTCAAAACTATACTCAGTCTACACGAAGGCGCTACACTTCTCTGAACACCGGAAGTGTAGGAAAGCATATGGTTTTCCTCATGCTGTAATGGATAGACTATTTTACTTATTTCTCTTACATAGATACTTGAACAGTGCTGTAACTAGCACCATTAAGAAAGGAGAAGTTGCTTGTTATAAAGAAACAAGTTTGGTTTTCATGTGCGAAGTTTAAGCAAAGATATGCCACCGTGAAAATTATTTGTTTAATAAGAATTGTTTGACTTTGATTTTTGTACAAATCATTCACAGACTACCAGGAACCTCTAAAGTCTTTCCATAGACTTAGGAAGGTGTAGTCTACATGTCCTGCTAGTTTCAATCTTAATGGAGCAGATATAGCTGTAGACAAAGTGCCGTAAACTTGGCCACAATTTGGCGACCTAAAATCCTTGATATACAAGAGCTGTTCTCCTTATTTACCATATACAGATAGAACCAACTCTCCTCCTTGCTATTATCAAGAATGAGCTTCATCTGTGCTTCTGTTTAGGAGATACACATCTACTAGCACAGCCACCGTCTTCACTTTTTAGCCACAAAGCAACTTTGATTTTTGTGCAAATCATTCATAGGGGTGCTGGGCTTGTGCCAAAGGGTCTGGTACTGTACTTAACTTTGCTTAATACATTGTGAGACTCCTCAGTTGCTGGGTCTTATTTTATTCAGGTAAAATTCCCCTCAAACTTGCTATGTTTTTCAGAAATTGCCTAATTATCAGCTTATCAGAGCTTATCAGCAACAAATGGTTCAAATTTTGAATGATTTTAATTATATTCATAAGCCATTGGCAATGAATATCATTTTATCAGTGACGTATCAGGAAGTGAAGCCATAGGAGGACCCTTTCACAATTGTGTAGCGCCTTCGTTTAGACTGACTATAGGGGCAGAACTTACACATTGGTTTTCCAGCCAACTAAAAATTATCTCTAAAGCAAGGAACAACTCATAAGGTAGCTAATGCCTTACTATTGTACTGCCATGTTTTTGTGATGTCTGGAGTTGTGTAGAATGAGGTATGCAGCTAGTACCAATACCTCAAAATATTATCAGGGTAAAAGAGAGTGTGTGTTTGGGAACATTGTTATGTTTAAAGTTTAAGCTTATTGAGTAAACTATTAGTAATTGGCACCACCCATTTTGTGGCACTTGTTTTATTTATGTAAACTATACTTTGCCATCTCATGAAACTGCAAAGTATGATGGCAATAGTTGCCCTTTATTTTGCATGATAGAGTCTACCCAGGGCCCTTATCTCTCAGCTTCATGAATGCTCTCTGTTTTATTTCTGTCTTTTTGTGTGTTTTTCTTGTTCATGTCTTATTCTTATTTGAAAGCTGGTAATGATAAACTAAATGACTGTAATGTACAACCTCAACTCAATGTCTGAGGTTTTCCTAAAAGTGTGTGCAATCTATTATTATTTTTTATAACAAAAAAGAGAAATTGTTATTTGCAATTATTATAATTTATTTGCTATACACATGTACATGTATGTAACAAGTAAATAAAAAACATTAAAAATGGAAAAGTAGTAGGATTAAATTGTAAAAAAGTAAAGAAACAAGAGGGTACTTGCAAACTGGTGATGTAAGAAATCCTACACCACTGCATGAAGAATAATTATA